TTCACCTTCACCCTAAAAGAAGACCGGGAAATAGAATATAAAATTCTTCCTTTCCCGCACTGATCTTTTCTAAAATTTGTCAATATAAGGATTCATCCTAGGAAGTTTATCCCGAATCCTAAGCAGGGATAAGTCTGCGCCTAACACGCGCTGCCGGTTTAGTCTTTTTCCGATTTTATCCTGAATCCTAAGAAAGGATATGTCGACATCTAACACATGTTCGCCGGTTTAGTCTTTCTCCGTAGAAAAAGACACCAGAGTTCGATTCTGGGGTATTTTATCTCGAAGCCTAAGTAGGGATAAGTCAGCATCTAATACACGTTGCTGGGTAGCCTATTCCCATAACAATGGCGAAGTCTATGTATTCGAAGTCATAGCAACAAGTCTCAGAGGATTCAATCTCTTAGCGCAACGTTACATGCGGAACGGACTTAAAGCAATCCGCATGTAAGCCCGAGTCAAACGATAATCGGTAAGAGCACGTCAAATCCATTGAAAGCTGGGGGTTAGCCAAAAACCCTAAAGTCAACGCCTAACACGCGTCGCCGGGTAGTCTATTCCCGTGAGAAAGACGAAGTCTACGTATTCAATATCGTAGCACTAAGAGCGTTAACTCTCTTAGCACAACATCACATGCGGAACAGATTTAGATAATCCGCATGCTAGCCCGACTGAAACGGTAGTTGGTAAAGGCTCATCAAACCCGTTGATGGCTGAGGGTTTGCCAAAAATCCTATAAATACAGGAGTCACTGACGCATCAGCTTCATTAGTTGGTCTCGTGACTTGAGCATCCAACGACATTCGAAACCCTAGGGTCAACGCCGGTCAACGCGTAACCCTAGGTCAACGCCGATCAATGCGTTGCAACGAAAGAATTAATACTCCGAAAAGTATACGAGTATAAACTGCTTCTTAATACTCCGAAAAGTATACGAGTATAAACTGCTTCTTAATACTCCGAAAAGTATACGAGTATAAACTGCTTCTTAATACTCCAATAAGGTATAAGAGTATAAACTATTCCCTATATTTTTGGTTGAGAAGTTCCTGGAGTATATTTTTCCTAAAAATATTCTTAAGGATAACTCAACAACACCACGCCGGACAACGCGTCGCAAATGAGAACTCAACGCCAACAATCGATGGTTAGTTCTATGTTGAACCAACAAACACGAGCTAAAGATCAAAAAAATTAGGAACCGACTTCAAATTCGAAATTCCGACAACGGTCAGACAATAAATGCAGCACCGGAAACCTTACAGACATTCGACAAAGCACCGAATAGCCTGAAGAATTGAAGGAATCAAGAACGGAAGTCATTCCAAGGTCCCATTACACCGACTGAAGGTGGGGACAATCATATCCAAAGTATTCCAGACTCTTCTATAAAAGAACGAGACTGAAATACTCACAAACCGACGAACCATCGGGCGACATATCCAAACACGAGCATCAGTCCACAACGCCAAAGCCAAGTGACACGCAATGAAGCGGATTAACGAGGCAACGAGGCTAACGAACCGCACGCAAACAATGGAATACATCCATTCACATGCGGAATGAAGCTAACAGTTCGGTGAGTCAACGAGTCATCCAACCATAGGACGGATTTGAACTCAAACACCGAGGCGAATTTACTACCAAATCAGGATTCAGATCAACAAATCAGAGTCCAAATCAACCACGAGACCGAAAAAATGGCAAAAACCACAACACCTAGGGGACTCGGCCAAAACCGAGCCACCTCTAGGTGGCTCGGCGGTGGCCTAGCCACCTATAGGTGGCCGGCCAGATCTGTGCCCGGGCACAGATCTGAGAGCCTATAAATAGGCCCTTGAGTGTTCATTTTGAGAGGTTGGAACTTTTGGAGGCGAAGCTCTGCCGGATTCAAGACTCAGAACTTAGAAAGATTGAAGCTTTGGGACTTTAAGGACTTGCTCTTCCAGATCCGGTGCTCGGCGACCGTCAACGCCAAATAAGACAAGAGTTCGAGAGGAACTGGATCTCAGATCTACATAGTCATCCTCCGGATCAAAGCTTGGCCTTTGATCCCGAGATCTAAAGGCTACTATTTCCTTGGCGAAATAGTACCCTCGGCTATTATTTCCTTGGCGAAATAATACCGTCATACTGCGTAGATCCGACTAGATCTAGATCGCGCGGTGGTCCACGGATTTACCCCAGCGTAGGCAAAGAACCCACAAAAGCGAGAGACCGCAAAACAGGATCTCGTGATTCGTTCGACAAACAAGGAAAGTTGTAATTTTTATTTCTTTGATTTTGTTGTAACCATATCTTATAAAAAGACCGGATCTTTTGTAATCGATAAACAGTTACTTGAGAGAACAATGAAATCAATAAAGAACACGATTTTCCCCGCGAACAGCCTTCTCAATTGGTCCTTTGAATAAACTCAACTTCCTGATGCTTTCAAGCATCAGGTCAACAGTGTGTGCTGCACAACTAGTCCAAAAAAATCCTCGGCCTCGCCCTATATAAAAGCTCCTTCGCGGCCATATTTGCAGCTGCATTATCCGTGACAACCTGAATGACTTTATCAGCTCCAATCTGCTCAATAGCCGTATTAACCCACTCAAATATATATTGTCCTGTATGTGCTTCCTCTTTGGTTTCAATCGACTTATGAAAAGTTATCCCCAATCTGCAGTGGATGCAAAGATTCATTACCGACCGCATCTTTCTATCCGACCAAGCATCAGTCATAATGGAACATCAAGTCTTGCCCCACTCCTCCTCATGCGTCTTTAAGGAGACTTTTGTTCTCTCAACAGCTCTTCGCAATAAGGGCTCCCTCAACATGTACATGCTGGGAGGCCTGTAGCACGGTCCATAGTCTCCAATAGCCATGCATGCCTTCATAAAAGAATCCGTGGAGATGACATGAAAGGGGATGACATTTTCATATGTCCAAGTAGCCAACTGATCATGCACCCAATCTCTCTTCTCCTTCAGGAAAGAATCCTTCTCTCCTGTCTGCTTCATTTTCCCTTTCAACCTTTTCGCTAGCTCTGGATCACTAGCGGTGTAAGCGTCCATCGGCCCAACAGTAGGCTCTCTAGACCTCTTTGAAGATTCATCGCATGTGGAAGGAGAGATGATTTCATCTTCATCTTTTTCTTCATCACACGGCCTCGTCGTATGAAGTTCTTCTTCTAAGTCTATAGTGTGCCTCTCCTTAGCTTGCTTCTTCTTCGAATTAGCATCGATGACTTCTTTCACCATATGCTTATCTTTTTCACTAATCTTCAAACACAGTTTGGTGCCCCCCTCAAACCTGCGAGATGCGTCTTAAATCGATGGATCCCCGCATTCACCTTGTGCCCACATAGTCGGCATTGCACAATATTCAAATTTTTTGGGTCCGGACAAAATCCAAACTCCCAACCAATATCTCCTGAGTTCCTTCTATCTTTCACGGGGGCTACGGGGATAGTGGTGGAACCCGTAGACTCCTTCGCTGGAACACCCGACATTCTGCAATAAATGAACAAACAAATCATTCATATACATAAGATCAAATCATGATAAAGGGATAAACTAAAGTATTATTACATTGTATAATAAAAAAAAGAGACTGATTTCAGTATCATTTAATTCTACAGTTAGTACAGTGAAATACACTAGGACACAAATAAATAATTTCCTAAATAAAACAAGTATCATTTAATTCTACAGTAAAATACACCGTTGTTTAATGTCTGTTCTAATTTCTAAAAACACCAAAACCATATTAATGTTAAGTTGTTAACCTTTAAACCAAAAAACTTGAAATCAAAGGTCATCACTCATCACTGAAGTCTGAAATAGTAAAATAATAAATAAAATAAGCAAATAACATTAAATCCTTTACCTTGTTACAGGGATGAAGCAGACTCACAACGGCTTCGAGAATCGAGAGGCTTCGACGAGGAACAGATCGTAGGTTGAAGACGAGCTCGGAGGTTGAAGACGAAGCTCGGAGGTTGAAGACGAAGCTCCGACGAGTTCGAAGACGAGGTTGAAGCTCGGAGGTTGAAGACGAAGCTCCGACGAGTTCGAAGATGAGGTTGAAGCTCGGAGGTTGAAGACGAAGCTTCGAACTCCTGTCAGCGACGAGGTTGAAGCTCGGATGTTGAAGATCGAAGACGAGGTTGAAGACGAGTTCGAGCTTCGACGAAGACAGTTCGACGAGGTTGAAGACGAGTTCGATTTTTGGAAATTTCTTGCGGCGTCGGGTGAGTGAGAAATGGGAATTAGGGTTTTTGAGTTTTGGGTTTTGGTTTTTGGGTTTGGGTATTGGATATGGGGCTTTTTTTTCTTTTAAATGTGGGGCGGGCCGCTTAAGCGGCCTGCTTAGCTTTGGGCGGCCGCCTAGGCGCTCCCAGCGCCCGAAGGTGGCTACCCAAACTCCACGCTGGGGGCACCACCTCCGCCTAGGCGACCGCCCATGGCGTTTTTTAAAACACTGATGGCCACGTATAAATCACGTGCATTATACTAGTTTGATGGAAAATGACACATTCCCATAAGAGTAACTTTTAATTAAAATTCCTTGAATTTTGAGGGATTTTCTATTGGGCTGCCGCATCAGCTTTTATGTAATCATCACCGGAATACATTTTGAAAATAAATTTGTTTTGTTTTATCCAGGTGAAGTTAAGAAATAAAGTGCTGAGTAGTTTATAATAGAAAAGATTAATATGAATCTTTATCAAGAGGCAACATTGAGATTCACACACCTACAAACTGATATCTAAGCTATATGAGTATCCAACCTATATGAATCACGCTACGTTCAGTTCAAAGTAATCTCGAGCTTAAAACCAATTTTTTGCTCAAACTGGTAATTTACAAATGAAGCATAAACATAAATAAATCATAATCAGGGGCACTTCTCCCTTGAATTAGTTAAATCCATTTTGTATTAAAACACAACCAAATATCCTTTACAAATGGCATAAATGAAAGTATCATACTACAGTAGCAAATGATCCATATATCAGTCAAGTAAGAAGACGAGGGTTTCATAAATAATCAGCAGTATTTAGTATACAAACTGCATCTCATGAAGTCTGCATTACTTTTACTGTTACAAATATGCACTTACAATCCAGGTCTCTATCGATTCATAGAGGAAAGATATTACACTAGCTATAACTGAAACATTATAAATTAAATGATGCACAAGGACTTATTTCACTAGACACAAATCATATCAAATAATTCAGCTTATTTTTACACTATCTATGTAAAAGATCTCCCATTGTAGAACATCCATATAACCTTTTACTTGTAAAGATTCGCAATCTGTTCTTTGTAACGCTCAGCAACCTTGTCTCTTCTTATTTTCATGGTTGGAGTCATCAGACCATTATCAATCTGCCATCAAAGAATAAGATTGAAATGAATGCTAAGTTGGATAATGTGTAAGTAGCGAGGGGGGAAAATTTAAATGCAGGGACATTAAGAACTTCACTGTGAATGGTTCATCTACTATCAATACTGGTCCAATTTGAAACGAGCAATCTGACGTCCTGCAGTAAGAAGAGAGCATTGGGTAAGATGCTAGGGGTGGTTTTAGTTGAAGACTTACAAGCTAATGATCCTCAAAATTATCCAGGAAGATATGTTGATACTCAATCGCAAAAGTAGAAATCTGAAATTATGAGAAATTTATAAGGAACATATATATAACATCGTCATAGTGCAGTTCAAGTCAAGAATATTAGTTGAAATTATGAGCAATTAAACAAAATACATAAGAAGCATCTTTACCATCTTCTTAATTCATCATACAACAGACCCAATATCTTCTCTTTACTGAGCTCAGCAGCATCACCATTCAGATTTGACAACTTTTTTGCCAAGGCTACAACTTCATCCTGGTTTGGCAAAATTAGAGCACCAAGACGACGTTGATCCTATAAAATTATGCACAGTTAGACGTCATGTTCTAAGAATCAGAAAAGTGATTCTTTATAAGTTCAATATCCCAAGCAGTAGGTGAACTGATCGATGAATAGAAAATATTTCAAGCAAAAAGTGAAAAAAATTGAACACATACCAACTAACAAAAAAGCAAAAATGATGTACAGAAGACAGGAAAAATATCATGTAAAAATAAAAACATAATATTTGATAAGATATAACATTATAGAGGGGGAGACACGCAGGTACATGTCTTATACTAGGTAATTTTCTTTGAAGTCCACATTTCCGTTCGCTTCTTAGTGTTTTTCCTCGTATACTTTAGGAAGCGGATCCTAGAGAAAACTATCGACCGATTAAAGACAGCTAGAAGAGGGAATACAAAAGACAAGCACAAATTGAATAACTAAAGCCAAACATGTAGAAGAGAAGAGCAGAAGATTTGGCTACATAAATTTTCCTGTGAAGGAGGTTCCTTGATGCCCGTATGTATTTATGTATTTAAGGATCTTTTTAACTTACTAGGAAGTTTATAGGGGAAAATTATGTATCAAACAATTGACTCTGAAAAAATGCTCATAAAAAATCATGTGAGGATCTCAAAGAAAACTTAAAATGGAGACAGCGATGAAGAAACTTATTAAAAATGGTACAAAATGTAATGTAGTAATAAAGAAATAACAACTAGGTTACCGTCCATCAAGCTTTGAACAGTATTAAGGGAATCAAGATAAGAAAATAGTAGTCTATGGAAACAAAAATACGGGAATTTCCATTTCTTTCGCTAGTACTAATGGATAAGGGAGACATATGTGGATTGGTACAAGAAAATAGTAGTCTATGGAAACAGACTTTTACATTCTAACATTCTCTGATCAATATATGCAACAACAGTACAATCAATGAAAGAAAGAATGATATGGAAAGAGAGATCATTTCATGACCCAAATTACTATACTCGCAGCTCATCTCATGTGCCAAGACCCTTAACAAATTCCCTTTAATAGGGAAGAACAGATGAAGAGGGAAGAGGATAGTGCTTTCTAAATCACATTTATCTTGAAAATACAAAACAAATAACAAAGCTCAAAGGATATTCATGGATTATTTTAGAATTAGAAATAAGAAGCATTCAAACTTTAGATCAAGCATTTGGTCTGATTGTCATATAATATTTGTTTGTGTTTTACTTCCCCTTACCTGACCAATGACCATAATTTGTTGGATCAAATTGCTCCTCATGGCAGCTTCCTCAAGTTCTGATGGTTCCACATTCTCACCTAAAAGATTCAAATAAAAACGAGTAAACTTAAATATGCTGATAAAACCGAGAAAAAAGGAAAGATAAATTAACACAGCATATTCATGATCAAAAGCAATTTACCACCTCACAAAATATTATTTTTCTTGACATGAAAAGCAACAATAAAAGCCAGCAATATTTGTTTCAAGTTATCAACAAATTGGATACCTATCAGTGAGATGTGAATTCTGCAACTGCAAGTATACACACACAGCATACCTTCCCTAAGCACAACTGTAGCACATAACTATTAACTGTTTACCATTACAACATTTCCACACTAACAATAACAATAATAGCAAAGCCTTTAACCCATACTTTTAGCGTTGGCTACATGAGTCCTACTCTTATTGCCCAGTTCTGTCGAAGGAACAAAAGTAGTTACGAAGTGTTTTTCAAAGAAAGCAATGTAGTTTTCAACAAAATTTGGATACCTATCAGTGAGATGTGAAATTTGCAGCTGCAAGTACACATACACAGTATACCTTCCCTAAGCACAAGTGCAGCACATCAACTATTAACTATATACCATTACATTATTTCCACACTAACAATAACAATAATAACAAAGCCTTTAACCCATACTTTTAGTGTTGGCTACATGAATCCTGCTCTTACTGCCCAGTTCTGTCGAAGGAACAAGCGTAGTTGAGATGTGTTTTTCAAAGAAATCAATGTACTTTATATGTGTTATTTATTCTATCCATATCCATAAATTTTGTTGTAACAGGTTTGAATATACAAAAAAAAATTCACTTGGGTTTTTCCTATACAACATTCCACTCATGCTCTCATAATTCTTATCCCTAAATCTTTCTAGATTTCCTTCCTAGCACATGTAAGTCTTACTATGCTCATTTTACGGGAGTAATGAACCATGTCCTATGTTAAGATAATAATATTGGTTCGTCCAACTGTTCTTATTATTTTGATTTCAAGGGAATAATTCAGCCATTCCTATAGATCTTCACATGTGAGCATGATGCTTAAGTAAAATAATTATTCTTCAAGATTTCCCATTGTGATGAATAAATAGAAATAGTAGAATATTACACAATAACTGCTAAGTAAATGTAGATAAAATCTGTAATTTTTAAACAAAATTAGTAACTTAGGTATACCGGTGATAAGAACTATTGTGTCTTTGGCACGTCCTTCCAGAACAAGCATTCCACCACATTCACGATCCCGTCCTGTAGAATGTTTGGGAGCAATCCAACCAATATCACCAGTATTGAACCAGCCCTCTCTATCAACAGCTTCTCTTGTAGCTGATGGGTTCTATTTAAAATAAAACATTTAAGGGGAAGAAACATAGTAACATCAAACTTCATAAAATTTTTACCAATATTAGGTTTCACTATAGGTTTCAGTTTTAAAGTAGAAACAGATATCCCTCAAACATCGTAACTTTGGGTTTCAAAAATCTATTAAATTCTTCAAAGAATGATGCAGTCACTAAATGTTCACACGCAAGATATTAGTGAAGGCTACTGACTACTCCATCAACTGTGTGGACCACTTTTAAGAGTTCAAACTTTCTTGTCTATATTCAGGCATTCACACATTCACATCCATGTCGCCTGATTTAACAGACCAGTCACTTGAGTTTTTAGATAATTATTTACTTTTTATGAATAAAACAGTTCATGTCAACTTATGAGCAGCCAAAATACAAATCACTGGCACAGCGGTAAAGCGCGAGGTGGCGGTGTCAGATAATAGGAGATTCCAACTTTAAGATCAGGTCAATGATGTTAGAATCTAAAATTGAGCATTCAGGGATCTTTCCGACAATTTCTAAAAGAAACTTTATTCGGACATAACTGCTTAAATAAAAAAGAACAATATTCGTTATTTTACATCCAACTAACAGAATAGGCAGTCGTATCTGCAACTTCTCGCATGTTGCCCGACAATGATGAGGTCATCAAATAAACTAAAGTCTGAACTTTTGTTTCATTATTAGCAAGAACCGAGTGACAAAGATACTGCTACCACCTTCAAATTCTAAAACCAATACAAATCTATTGAAGCTCATCGACAAATCATAGTACCAATTCCTAACATTTTCTTACACTTTGCTATTACACACTCGAGGATTTTTTTACATTATTTTATTAATCCTGAACTCCTCAAAATCTTGCTAAAAACCTAAGAATGATAAATATATATACAGCCATAACATATGAAAGAAAATAATTTTCTTCTAGCTGATTTCCCCCGTGGGTAGCAAAGCATGTTTATTTTTGGAATAAGTTTACAATATGGAATGTAGGACAATGTTGCGTGAGTAGACATAGGAAAATTTGTATAGTTTCCAAATGTATTATGAGTTGAGATCTTGAGGTTGCCAGATGGAAGAGAACTTGACATGTCATAAATTGATATTCTTCCAGTATAGTAGTAAATAAATGTGTGCAGAGCCAGAAGAAATATCCTTCATCTAGGAATTACAGAGAAGGGCAATGGAATTCTGATTTACAAGGTAGTGTTGAGTCAATGGTTCAAACGGTGATGGTCTTAAGACTTGATTCTTAATGGTATACAAACTGAAATTACATGGATTTAACCATTCATTTTTTTTCTACCGGCCGAAAGGCAGAACATACAATTCTTGATACAATCAGTGCATGGATAAAGTAAACGAGTCCAAAAAATTTGTACAAGAGGCAGCAGCATTATTCTTTGACCATGAACTCTGGTCCCTAAAGGATTCACATAAGGATTATGAATAGATATAAACGAACGTACATTGCAAGCATCTCAGGCATGATTTTTACCTTATAATAGCCTTTCATCACCTGTGGTCCCCTGATCTTGACTATGCCTTTTGAACCATCTGGAAGAATCTTACCAGATTCTATATCAACAATCTTAATTTCTGTGTCATTAAGTGGGTGCCCAACCGTACCAAGTACCTTTCAAAAGTGAAAATTCTGTTATAAGAAGTCATGCCATCTGAAGTTCATTGTGCTCGACTGTGGTATAAACGAAAGATGACAGAAAGTGAAGGTTTTAGTTCTCTTTTGAGCACCGACAGCCTAGCAAAAGAGCCAGTAGAAAGGGAGCAGGTTCTCAACTGAGGAGGAAGTCAGTTATTGAAAAACCAATGTCTTAAAATTCAAATTATTTGACCTTATTATGTAATTAACCACAAAGTGAATACAATAGGCATATTTCTACCGGAGTCAGTTTAAAACAGTTGTATTATCTGGAACACTAGATATTGCTAAATCTTACAGGCTCTTTAACCAATACAAAATTTTCAACTGGTTAGTATGTATTTCCTATTTATATCCACCAACATTTTCTGGACTAACTGTCATATTAGTCGATATTGTAATGTGACAAGGGAAGCTTTTATCCCATTGATCTTCTTTAGGAAGAATGACATATGCTTCTGTGCTTAGCCCTGTCGTTTGCAATGTTAAATCTAAGTATATAAATAATAATTACGGGGAAAAAGTGTTTTTTTACATTGCAGTAAGGTCGTCGAGCAGCTACAACAGGAGATGTTTCTGTTAGACCGTAACCATTCTGCACCTTCACGCCAATTGCCTGCAGCAGTTGTAAATAGCCAACAGTAAGATGTGGATGGATCCTTAGAAATCAATGGATATATTGAAGAAACACTAACCTCAAAAAACTTGTCAATAAACATTGGCAGACTTCCACCACCACTAATACCAGCCTGCAACAAAGTTCTGCAATTTATTCAAATAGCAACATTGCTTAAACTATTCATTTTAGCTAGTAAGAAACTTTAGTATAGAAATGAAAAGATTAAATTTCTACTTTGGGGTTGAAGACAATTATCTTGTACCTTTGATATTCCTATGGTAGAGTGAATTTTCTTATAAACTAGCTTCATACCCAAGTTGTGCAATGGCCATAGAATTGCAGCTAATATTCTTCCCCACAACCAGTCAAACAGAAGGAGAATAGCCGATTGTTGATTCTCTTTTCCCGTTAAAACTCTTCCCTACCACACCAAAGTATTTCATCAAGAAGCAAAAAAATGTTAATTCAGTATTTTATCTATGACAAATTCAGTTTTGGGGACACACAGAGAAAATATAGTAATTCACTCTAGGAATTTTAGTGGCAAACCCAAATGAATCTGTTTGAATATGCTTTTAGTTAAGAAAATTAGCTAGAAATCTTATCTTCATCCAGACCTCATACACTCTCTTTGCCTCCATGAATAACAGACTGATCTTGATGAATGCAAGTGCGACAAACTGCTGAACAGCAGAGGCCGAAGAGATCTGCTTTTGAATTGAACTGCAGAGGAGAATAAACTGAATTACAAATGCTGATCAAGGTGTTTATTACCGAGTACGGATTCTGAATGCTGGCTTCAATTTCTGAGAAAAAAACAACAGTTTATAGATGAAATTATGAAACTTTTACCCAACCCTTAAAGAAACATTAATATCCACTGCTCATAGATGAAGCATATAAATGTTTTATTATTGTCATAATTGGTGGAAGAAAAACCAGCAGTTATGTTTGATATGCACTAGTTAAACATCGTCACTTAAATATTCTTCTATGAGATTACAGATTACTACTAGTGAAAAATAAAGGATTAGATCTTATGCATTGTTAATATAATTTCTTGAAATAAATGCATACATTGCCAGAACAAGTGTGCACGTGCAAACACACTGTATCATAAATGAATATTGTAGTTTGCTCAAGATTAATTTCACCAGAAGTGTCATGTTGATACATTTACTTTTGGTGTACTTAACATATTTCTTATTAGTGACTATTCTTCAACTTGCCACCATAATCTTGAAACCTCTTGTCAACTTGTATTAGACTTCAACCAGTCATCTTTAAACTCAAGTAGACATCAATAAATAGTTTCTGTTAGGATTAGGAATTTGAGAGAGTGAAACATCTCCCTCATTAATAACTCTTTATCTGCGCGAGTTTGTGTGTGCACGTATAGATTTGGCTACTTCATATAATTGGAGCCAAATTCATTCCATTTACAAATACTTAACTAGTCATAAGATAGACCCTATACATATTTATCTCCTTGTGAGATAGACTTGGATACTTCCTGAAGGATGAAACCAAATACTTACCCATTCAAATAGGTGTTTGGCTATTCATATATAGATTCACTCTTTTAAGGTTAACTTAAATCATTTAAAGTGCATAAAAAGCAATAATCAAGTTTCTTGAAGTTTTATTGTCCATACATCAAGAAAAAATGGATGGTCAAAATGACAAACTTATTAACAATGCGGAAAGTTTTACTAACAAGAAACTGAACATGATATTGTGCTTTAGGTCTGCACTTGATATTTGATCTTGATCTAAGCACTTAAGATTCATATACACTGATTCTTTCTCTCCCCTTAACATCAGTTTTAAAAAGTTTCAAAATCGAGCTTTTTAAAACTGATGTTAAGAAGGGGAAAAAGAATCAATGTATAAGAATCTTAAAGAGTTTAGATCAAGGTCAAATATCAACTGCAGACCTAAAGCAAAATATCATGTTCAGTTGTCTTATGTTTACTTGATGCATGGGCAAAAGAAACTAAAATGCTTGAATCTTTTAGGCACTTTAACTAATGTAGATCAATGTCAACATAGTGTATCATATGAACTAGAATTCTGATGGAAGGATTTGGCTAGATCCTATCTATAGAATTTGACATTGGATCACTCTAAAAAGGACATATTTGCAACTTAAATGGGATATAGGAAAGATTAGACGTAATCTACGTCATTAATGCTTAAAAAATTCAGAGATTTTTACACTCTCCTACTTGTGTTTTGTGCATCAAGTAATCCTAAGTGGATGGTTTTGAATACTGAGTTTGTTATATATACGGTTTAAAATACTTCAAACCAAATACAAATGAGTTTGCAGGAGTTTAGTACAATTTACATCAAGATAGATGGATAAATCATAGTTTTAGAAACATAACTGTGTTCAACACATGCTCTTGTACCATTTATTTTGTGATGCTGACTCAAAAATCAAATGTCTTTCTGTTTTTAGACTATCAAGTGCCACAGAACATATCTACACTGTAGGTTTTTTTTTATAAATGTGCATGTGTGCGCGTGTGTGTACACAAAATTGGATTTAGTACATGCCCTACATTGATTCTTGATGTAGGTCACGCTCATGTAACAAGAAGCAAGCCTACGAAGTCCCCAAGACAAGGGAACATTCCAGATGAAGAGGAGAGATGAATGACTTATAAAAACAAAATCAATGACCATCACATTAATAATGGAATGCTTTAACCTCTAACAAAGCAGGTTAGGAGAGCAGAAACAGAAACAATGCATGGAATTAGAATTTTACCAAAACTTAGCTATTAGTTATGAGTCTGAATTAATACAAAGTGTACGCTACACAAATAAGCCAAAGATTCATTTCCTTGAAAAAAGAAATGAAATATACTTTCTAGATTCTTGCCTATTCTGTGATTGATGCTGCAGTCTGGAGAGAACTATAATACTATCTATATTTGTGCATCTTAATAACATATGTCTTAAATAAATTCCATAACCTATAAAAAAAACATTGGTAGATGGACAGTACAATATGGTTATCAGCTATTTATTTGTCTCTGCATTGTTCGTGTGAAAACTCAGCAGGCATGGTGATGAAGCAGTTGGAGACAAACTTTCAGATTTAAAATAGACCTGTTACAGATGGAACTCAGTAAAGAAAATTAATCTCATCTTGTTTTTTATAATGGGACATGGATCCCATTTGAAGTGTCAGGCGAGTAAACATCAACCTTTCAAATTATATACAAATATTGCATTGGATAGAACAAACCTGTAGAGTGTTTCATAAACCAGAGGAACAGAAATAAGGTATTGTGGTTGATACCGCTTCAGATCTTCCTACCATAAAGAAAATAATGATGCAAAATAAAAACGCAAGGATCACATAATAATGCACCTGAAAATTCATAGTCGAATTGACGCTTAATATTTAACAGTGTAGTGTATATATTGGCGGTATCACTGATCAAGCAAATGAAAGTATCCGATGAGATTGATGCTTACACAAGATGCTCATAAACAAAAGTAGAAAGCAATGAAATATCTAATATTCAAAGACATAACAAATAGATATGTGTGGTACCTTTAAATTCTTCACATTTGTGTAAACTTGCTCGATACCACAAGTGAATATGAAATACTCACTAGCTCGCTCATATGCATGCCAAGGTGGAAGCATGCTTAGGAACCTGTCTCCAGCTACTGCAGGCACAATGTCCCACAAGTTCTTCACCTATAACAAATATAAATAAATTTGTTCCTAACAGAAAAGCTAAAACAATAGTTGAAGGGAAAAAAGAACTCAGAACAGATAGTAACTTAGATTCAGACTTCTTTTTTTTTAACTAAATAAAGTCCCTTTCTAAAAAAATTAGCTGGATACCATACAATTGAAATCGTGCAATAAAAAATTAGAGATTACAAAAAACTACAGAGCTAAGGCATTCATCACACCTGATGCAAGATATTCCGGTGTGTAAGCATTACACCTTTAGGCGAGCCACTGGTTCCACTTGTATACATAAGCGTTGCTATGTCATCAGGATCAATGATTTCACATGCATAATGTTGACCTACAAGATATTCAACAATTCATGAAAGTACAACTATGGGACATTTAAGATGATAATAGGAAAGACAGTTCTTACAAAATAAAACTGCATTAAATTAGGGTTGCAAGAATATTGTCTCATGCCCGTTTAATCTCAAACTGATACAATTTCTCTTATTTCTGTTCAACTGCATTTCAAGCTCAAATATCATGCAAGAATGCTTCATTTATTGTTGAATATACCAGAATATTTATTAATACATCATTTAAGCTGACAGCCTAATATGCAATGGCTCTTTCTCCATAGAAAGGTTTCCCACATTTATTGTCTAACAGAAGATGAGGTGAAATTGTGGAAAGTACAGAAGACTAAAAGCTTGCAGAGATTGATCCAGATCCCTTCCTAGATCAAGGATCATAATTTTAAATGTATGTCATGGGATGATGGGAGTGAGCCGGGATCACAGACTAATTATTCAACAGGCATACTGTCCTAAAAGAAATAATATGATCCATGCAAAGATGAAGACAAGTAGCATGGCTTCTCAAAGCTCAACCAACTTTATTGAGCTCAAATTCCTTTGTTCAAACTCCATAGTCCTTAATGGATGAAGCCTTACTCAAAGCTGAAAGATGACCTTTCATGATCTTCTCAATTCAGTTTCTTAGATAGTTAATATTGTCATATATGTGGTTATGAGAATGGTAGATGAAGACAAATCAACTTAATTGATAGCTTAGTTACCTCAACATTGGAAAATGTAATCATAAGCAGGAAGAATGGTTGAGGGAGAAACAAATGTTGAATATCGTTTTCCATCTATGCAGAGATTATGGGAAAAAAGAACAGGAAAAGTAACACAATCTCACAAATCTTATGTGGAAAATCTATCATTGTGAGAGGAAAACCAATGGGCCTATTAAACTTTTACAATCTCACAAGTAGCATGGCTTCTCACAATTCAGTTCAACAACTTCTACTTCCCGTCCACGTTAAGCAATACCCAGTTAAAAATTGAAGCTTAAACATGATAATGTAAGCCAAATTCCAATAGATCACTACTTAACTGTAAGCAACCTGTTACATCCTGGCATTACAAGTCTGTAAATTATTGTTTTTATCTTCAGATATCTAGAAGACCAGAAGATCCACGTTTACAAAATTAAAAGTAAATTCCATAATAGACATTTATCATAGTCCAGATGGTTTGCATGGACTACAATCATTTGCTGTCAATATATAAATTTAAAGAAGTTGAGAAGGAACTACAGAATCAAGATATACGACTCTGGTGGGATAAAACTATTGTTTTAGGCCTATTAAACTTCTGAAGACATTTAACTGTTACCTTTGCTGCAAGAGTCATGCAAAGCTTGGCGGCTTTTTCTCCCCAGTTCTATGATTTCCTTATATTCATATAGAGGTATGTTTTTATCATATTTGGGACTGTAAGAATCTTTTAAATGAGATTTTTCACCCCACAGCAAAAGAATTACACGTATATCTGCCCTTTGAAGGAAAGATTTAGCAATCCTATTAAAAACTTCCGGGTTGTCCACAACAAGAGCAACGCTGCAATGAAAAGTATGATAATATATTAGAAAGAAAAAATTCATTAGAGTGATAAAAACGTTTGTCAGTTTCAAGTTTAAGTGGAGATGATGTAACATATTTTTTTTCAAATTAGTTAGTGTCAACATACCAGCATCAGAGAGAATTGATTACCTATAAAAATCGAGCAAAAATATAAATAATATTTTAACCTGGATAAAGAGGGATGGACAGTACACAGTGCAGATAACTTAGGACTAAAATGATATAATTATTTCAAAATAAGTCTCCATTAGGATAAACCAAATATATTTTTCCATATCCAAATATCATGCTAACAACCGATATAGATCATACTTTATTATACAGACAAATGAAGGAGTTAACTGGCAATATCAAATATAAACTTTTTTAAAAAATTCAAAAAGCTTTAAAGCATCAGGCAACAGATTAAAAGGACAGACTAATGCAAAGGACTAAAGGCGTAATATTTTCTCCAATTAGGAATTACTCATCTTGAAATTTTGAGAAGGGTCCATTTTACCCATAAACCCATAAAAAGTGAGGTGATCTATGGAGCTCAACTCAATGTGAGAAGGCTAGAAGAAAATTTTAGTGAGATTATAAAACTCTGTCAACAAAATATCCCTTATGTTGATTTAAGTTCATTATTATGAAGAAAATTATTGACAAGAGACGCTAATAGGAGAACTTCACCACATTGCTTCTGTGCTTTGAGCTTATAAAATCAAGGAGCAGCCCACCCCAATATTCTCCTATACTGCAAAAGACTCTACAATAAAGATGGTAAGATTTTATTTGACAATGAGATTGAATCAATTTTGTTTCGCAATTAAATTGAATGGAATCCTTCATACAGGCCATGAAAATTAGCCAAAGAGCCAAGACGTTCACCTTTTTAAATACTCAACAGAACTCCAGATGATTCAATTTGGAAATGAACAAAGGCATTCGCAAATCTTTCAGAGTGACATTGAAACTGAATCAAATTTGTTCCATGATGAAATTCAATGGAACCCTTTATACAGGGAATGAAAATAAACCAGAGCGCCAAGAGCATACATCCTCCTAAATACTCACTACAACTCTATATTATTTAATTTTGAAATTCACAAACCTTTCAGAATGCTCATATATCTGAATTAGCTCCTTGACAGAAGATCTTGTTCCACGAACCACATTAATAGCACCAGTCGTCATGATTCCTGAATAATGATATAAGGGATGGCCACAAGCAACATGTGAGAATACAAAACATAGTGGTTAATTTTACATGCATGCAATAAACTAAAGTCAGAAAAAGTCTTCCCAAAAGCCATAAAAAACATGTAACTTTAATTTATGTTGACATTAAGCAGCTTAACTATCTGAAAGTTTGTTATGTAGTATTATGGGAAAGTCCAAGCGTAAAGTTTGATATATGCGTAATGTTATATAAGCTATTGTTTCCAGAATAATATAAGGAAAATAGAGAATATGACATGCACTCTATGCAGTCTCTCATGCACGCCAGTAGTTGGTACTGAAATCTGAAAAGTCAATCAAATATTTTATGCCGATATCTCAAAACTATAAACTGTTCTACACACACAGATAGACACACACGCACATACACACAGAGAGACAGACAGACAGACAAAGAAAGACATACGTACATACATAATATTGTTGATAACCCAACCCCGGAATCTAACCAAAGACCATGAGAGCCATATTAGAGCCTCCCAACAGTCCAGGTAACCCCGCAGTGGGCAACTGTTCTCTATAGTTGACCTCCCTTTAGTGAGAAAAGAATATGTCTGGCTATATAAATTGTATTAGTTTTGGGCTAGCATCTAATTGCAAACTTTGGACAACTCATTCATAGCAGATGTAGAAGAATGCAGGAATATCCAACTTCATCATAGATTCATACGCCCGACACGAGTGGTTGAACTGACCACTTGAATGGGTGGACTGGCTCAGCCAAAGACCATCAGTCAACAAGAGGGACTACGCGGTAAAACCATCTCTCAAATCTATTGTTGATTTTCATTAATTTTAACCACTTCGGCCTTGTGTCAATACTCCAGGGATTGATTTCTCCATTGGAAAAGCCAATCTCACATTAAATGGTTCTTTGGTAACAATCTCACTATATGTAGGATCCATCTTTCTGCATCATCAATTGGCAAGCTCGTCCATCTATCACACCACTGTTGACAATTTCCAAATCCTGATCCTATTATACCGGATGAGATGTTAGCTAGACGTTTCCAATTTAGGCATTAGTTCACTTAAACCTATAGGTTAGAGAAATTGATGTGAGGAATGTGAACATCAATCTACAGGTTAAGATATTTTGTTGTGGACCATTCGACCATTGGTTGTACACCATCTGGGCAATGGGTCTCTCCGGACATGTTGAACATGTTTACTAATGCAGATTAAATTTAACGATGGGAAAACATATGAAGAAATATGAAAACAGAATGGATGCACGATTATAACTGCCCTTTGTCTGAGAAATTGAGTCATTTTTCCATGGCTTTAGCCAGCATACCCAACTAGTAAGGGCCCATGATCTCTGTTCTTGTATGTGCGAGCTTCATCACCTAGATCCTGTACATCTTAGACAATCCTCCTTATGTAAAAGCATGTGTCATTCCAGCACAAACTTGCCTCTTGCTAATCTGACTTCTATATCTATTGATTTCTTTTATGACTTAGTAATTCAATCCTCCAATTTATTATTATTCTAAGACAGAAAACAAACATCATACCACATATCCTAGTAAATATTAACATTCAGATTATTGTATACAATAGTGGATGCATATGCAAGCTTTAGGGGGGCAATTGCACCCCTATGCTTATGGAAAATTAAATTCTAAAGCCTTGTAAATTTACAATCCCCCCCCTCCCCCCATATTTCAAAAACTATTTGCACCCCATTTGAATTTTAACCCATTTAAGTTGGAAATTTAGCCCATTTGTCTAGAATTTAGTAATATTATATTTCAATTTTGGGTAAATAGATACTTGTTGTCCGCCACCCCCACCGCACCCCACCCCACAAAAGAAAGGTTTTCTAGGTTCGCCACTAATTGAATACAAAGTGCAGATATTTACATGTACAGATAAAAGGTATTATTTGTGTTGAACACCTAATGGAGGGGGGGAAAACCAAATGATACTTGATAGGACTAAATTTTCATAAAGCATAAGTCCAATCAACTAAATAAGGATGAGAAGAACCATCATTGTCACTTAAGATACTAGATAATTCTCATAACTATTGGCAGTCGACATCATCAACATTTTTCCTGTCATACATAACCAGGTTGTAGTAGAGCATGAGTACCGTAAAGAAAGTTTGATACAAAATTTTCCTGCAAACTATCAATGTGAGAACTGTTTGAAATAATTGCTGATATCACACTCATATCCTGATGACTATGCTCCAATACAATGACTTACTGCTGCTAGCAGCCTAACAGGAAAGTAGCCAGTGAAAGGCAAAAGGGAAGGATACCTTGATCTGCAACTAGCCACCTGCTTGAATTATCAGAGAAGAGTGCCACCTTTTCATCTGGAAGGATTCCAATATCTCTTAAACCTTCAGAAAAGTCCAAAATTTCTTGTTCGAGCTGCCAATTTGGGAGAATAACATAAGTAAACTTTCATCTACAAATTCCAATTAGCAACTTATCAGTAAAAAGAAATTTCACATAATGTCCACAAATCTAGTCAAGTACAGGCAGACTTCAAGTTAACACAGCATCAATATTAAACTATGTTCTCAGTAAGAGTCAATGTCAAATTTACTGGATTTGATGGACTATGCAATAAGAAAAAAAGCAAATTACAACCTTACGGTAAAATTTACTTAGGGAAATTTAGTTAAGGAAATTCAATGTAACCCATGCACCATAGTAACTAGCAGATTACACCATTATGGTAAAATATTCGCCACAGAGAAACCCCGTCCTATCCACGGGAGGGTAAGTCATTGGCCTGCAGCTAGGGGTTTGCTCTCAAATAACCTCTAAATCATATATTAATCCTATTAATCATCTTCTTATTTTGACCAAAAGAAGATTCTATTAAGCCATCTTTTTGTCAATTTAGAACTTTAAGTCACCCCTGTTTGACAATTTCTAACCCTGATACATATTTAGGACAGGCTCTAGTTGACTCCAAATCTAACTAGAATTTGGAAAATTAGAAGTGATCCAAGTCCAGAACAACCTATATCTCCCAAAAGAAGTTTAATGTTATGAACAGGGGCGGAGCAAGTGTATGGAGGGTGGTGCCCGTGTCAGGAGTCACCACCCCAAATTATACAATGAAATAAGTATCCGTAGTAAGTATCTATGAACTCATTAAGTAAAGTGACGACACCTCAAAATTATTTCAATAGTTAGAAGTGACATCAATTCTTAATGGGACAGACCTAAAAATAAAGTGATCCTAGTATACATTAACTTAAATGGCCCCACATATCAAAGAGCTACCATCAATTTTGAAAAAGAAAAAAAAGAGAGATAATTTTACATTGAAAAGGATGTAGTGAGTGGTATTTTGAATGAATGCTATTATGCTTTCAAAACATGAAGACACGTAGGGTTATTTGTAATTGTATCAAGTTAAATATCTTTCGTACCTCATTAAAATTTCTAAATATACTGAATGTGGGAGAAAATTGGTAATATCATCTTTTTCTATATATTGTGACACCACCATTATGAATTTCTAGCTCCGCCACTGGTTATGAGTCAGTTCACCATAACAAAACTGATACAGCCCTTCCCTCATGTCAACACATTTTATTGCCATGTAGCTGCTTGAGCAATCCAATAATTGGATTTTTGCAAAGAAACTGCTTTATAAATCTAAGTTTCATAAAAGTCTAGACCCTTCCATCCATTTACCAAGTGCACGAAAATCATCTTTTTAGAGAGGGCCATCATTTGTATTGTCCATGTATTTCTCAATAACATGCAGAGATTACAAAACAACTCTAGTGCCAGTCCAATGCTCTTAAATTCAGCAAAAATCCATCACCTGCTTGTAAGTCAACTCCGACGGCGGATCATGATAAGGATCCACCACGGCCACTCGATCCCCGAACTTCTCCGCCGTCGATTTCCAAATATCCGGAACCGATCTCCACTCGGTGATCGCCGGCGAAGCGTCAGAATTCGGCAGAAAAGCACTCTCCAGAACAGGAGAACACTTCCTCCTCCTCTTCGATAGCTCCCCCTGCACCAAGGAAGTCAAATTGAAGTCAAATTAGGGCAAAGAATCGACCGCTCGATCCAGCAACAAATTAAGATAAAATCTTCAAGAACTCACCTCGCAGGAGCAGCGGAGGCGACATCGGACGTTGAAGCCCCTCCGCCTGATGCCGGAGAAAGCGCATCGGCGGCCGTCGAGGGCGGCCGTCGAGGGCGGAGAGAGGAGGCTTTGGAGAGAAGAGGATTGACATTGTGATTATCGAGGTTGAGATCGAGAGTGAGAATAGGAGGGAACGGGTAAGTATGATAATTTTGAGAGGGGGGAGAGAGAGAGCTTTGGGGGTTCCGCTAGAGATGCATTTAAAAGGCGAGAGGCCCAGCCCATCAAATTCGACAGGATTTGTAACTGTGGGCCCAGATGAGAGCTACGATGAATTTATTAGTGAGTAACTGAAAGATTGTATTGTGCACGTCCGGCTTAGCTGGAATTGCACTGATTGCGGGCACAGTTCGTGACCATTTAGCGGTTGCGACATTTCGATATGGGACTAACACGGGGATATGTGAAATGTTTCCCTTTTATTGCATAATGAGTGGGTAAATTATGACTTACTCATTATGCAATAGGAGGGAGATACTTTACATATCTCTCTTGTTAGTCCCATATTTTGGATCATTGGGGAATTTTTTTTGAGTTATAATTAAAGTGTGAAGTGAGGGGCACCAGTGAAGCCAACAATTCTTTTTCTAGAGGGGATTAGAATATAGCTATCATACAACAATAAAAAATTAATTAAATATGACAACGTGTATAAAGCTTCATATATATAAGACCATCTCCAGCAGGAGGTGAAATTTCACCTCCCTCTCTCCTGCCACATCACTTTATTTAATTCAATAAACTCCATTTCCCTATCAACTCTGTAGTAGGCAGAAAACCAGGGGGGGAATTTTCCCCACCTGCTCCGGTATTTCAATTTCCCCACCCCCATTCCCCTCCTGCTGTAGCCAAAAGACTCCTATTTCCCTACCTGTTGCATCAAGTCTAAGGAAGCTTCATATGTGTCACAAGGTGAAAGAAGAATCTAAAATAAAAGTTTCAAAAAAAATCTAATAATACAAAAAATCATTTAAGCATATGCCTTACCGTTTGAATCAATATGCTATAATTTTCTATAGTTTCATTTGAAAAATGTGAAAATATATTGTAGCCTTTTTTCCCGTAACTGCACAAATGACAATTTAAAATTTTTTTTAAAACCTGACAAATTGAGAACACACTATAAATCATATTACACTTTAAACAAGAATAATAAGAGAAGAAGTGAATTTATACATCACATTTATAAAATAATTGTAGAAGTAGACATGTCCATCCAGGCCGGCCCGGGCCGGAAATCCGGGCCCAGGCCGGGCAAAACCGGAGCCCGGACCCGGACCCGGGTACCCCAGGCCGGGTCCGGGCACGGGCCCGGGCCGGGTTCCGGGCCGGCCCGGGTTTTTTATTTTTTTCCAAAATTTTTTAATGTTATTTAACTTATAAATTATAAAAAAAAGACAAGAAAAATAACAAAAACAATAATTTTATTAATTACTTAAAATGACATAAATTACAAATAAAAAATTATAAAAATAAATTCTTTATTAATAATTAATAAATCATTTACAAATTACAAGTACAAATTTATTTTGGAATTAATCGCATCACAATAGATAAGTACATCCCAACTAGGTTGACACCTACTCACCTATATCACTATCATTTGCAACTATTTCCAAAATAATTCTTTACAAATTTTAAGCTAAGATATAAAAATTACAATTTGATGAATAATATTTATTCTTTATATCTATCTGCTAGTCCCAATTCTTCAAATTTATCTTCAATTCCAGCCATCCGATCGATGCCTTGCGTTCTCTTTTCGTACCTTCACCAATCTTGTAAGCACATCACCGCTTATACAGTATACGGATCTAAGCATGTCCTGTGGTCGTCGATCAAACGTCCTGCTATGCTGAAGGCGGATTCCGAACCTACCGTCGAAACCTGCACTGTTAGTAAGTCACGAACCATGGTGGAAAGTATAGGATATGAAACTGATCCATATACTTTCCACCATTGCAAAATATCTAAAGTATTTCCTTGATATTTAACTAAAGAAGCAGATAAATATTCATCTATTTCAGAAACCTCCAATGATGACGATCCAAGTCCAGATCCACCAGTTAGCTCAGCTACCATTGCATACCTATCAAAACTTACACTTTTACCTCGGGATGAGCTCGAAGAAACCGAAGCTGTAGACTGTTGTGTAGCTACACCATGTCTAGCTGCATACTCATCATATAAGATTTGAAAATAATTTCTAATAGCTAAATGATGAGTAGTAGCAGTAAGGGTGGTTCCATCATCTAAGTCTATAATCTGATTACCATACAAGGATTGTAACAAACTTCGAAGACCAATATCCTTCAAGCATGGATCAATAAGAACCCCCAAACCAAAAATATGAGAAATAGGCCTAAAATACTTATTAAATTTGCTCTCTATTTAAAAAATCATAGATCCAAAAGTATCATCCATACGATATTTCGAAATTTTTTTTGAATATTTAAAATTTTTAAAGCAGCTAAAGTAATGGTTGGATAATAACAGCCAGATAATAACATTGTAGCATCATAAAAAACTTGTAACATTTTATTTAAATTACATATAATTGTCCATTCATCTTCAGTTATTCCATAAGTGCTACCAGAACTAGAACTAGAAGCATAATAATTTATAAAATCAGTTATAATTGTTTTCGTTGAAAATTATTTTTTTCATTGTATAACTCATTACAACTTTGATCGTTTACAATAAGATCAAAAAGATCGGTCTTTTTATAAGACCTTTACACAATGAAAATAAAAGATACAATTCTTTTAAAAATAAACGCAAGATCTGTTTATCGTCTCCTGCTTGCGTGGGTGTCTTCACCTGTACCGGAGTTTATCCGTGGACCACCTTTGATCAGATCCGGTTGCTGAAATTTTGGCAGAGCTCCTAAAATCGACCAAGCGAAATTAGTAGCTCTTCTCGAGATTAAGACCAAGCCTAATCTCGAGGAACGGACGGGAACGAGCTTCAGATCCTTCGAATTGCTCCTTCTTTATGCCGGGATTCGCAGGGATCTCGCTAGCCCTTTCTGAAATTCGTGCTCCCTTGCTCTCCAACTTGGCAGCACCTCCTCGTCTTGATAATTAATCCTCCCCAGTGAAATGAGCCCCTAGGCCTGTATTTATAGGCTTCGGTTGGGGGGTTTTTGGATAAGAATGAATGATTCCTCCTTATCCTCAGTTAATAACTGATTAACCACGTTTGGGGATGATATTAGATCAGTTTGGATGCTCAGGAATGAACAAATCCCAAGAAAAACCGAACAGGGGTCGAAACAGCGCGCGGGGGCGGATCAGACCTGCGCTTGCGCTGGTCGGACAGATCCGACCAGCGCCGGCGCGGGTCAGATTCTTCCGACCCGCGCTTACGCGGGTCAGATCATTCCGACCCGTGCGGGTGCGGGTCGGTTTGGTCCGTCCCGCGCGGCGCGCTGGGATTTCTGGTTTTGTGATTTTTTGTGTTTTCTGGTTCTTCCGGGACTTGTATTTTCCACCGTTTTGCGTATTTGATAGTCTTGTTAACTCGTACGCTCCGCGCGAGTTGACCGACGCGCACGAACTGATTAATGCGCGTGTATTTATTAATGCGCGCGTGTTGACCGACACACACGAACTGATTGACGCACGCGTGTTGAGCGACGCGCGCGAGCTGATTGACGAGCGCGCGCTGACCGACGTGCGCGAACTGATTAACGAGCGCGTGTTGATCGACGCGCACGAACTGATTAATGCGCGCGTGTTGACCGACGCACGCGAGCTGATTAACGCGCGCGTGTTGACTGACGCGCATGAGCTGATTGATATTCGCGGGCCACTTGGTTTGTCGTTTTGCTTCATGCGCTTATCGATGACAGATAATCCTCTTAGACTCGGATAACGACGTTCGTTGTCTTCTTTCCGTCTCGAGCTGTGTACGGACATCCATAAGCATTTTTAGACGCCTACAGATATCCCCTCCAAAGCATTTCAGACTCATTTCTTTTATAGAAGAGTCTAGAAGGCTTTGGATAAGATAGGATTTTTCCTCAATTTCGTAGAGGGACCTATGAACTGCTTCAATTCTTGACTTCTTCAGCCTTCAGTCTATTCATTGTTTTGTCGAATAGATGAAGTTCTTTCGGCGCTATGTTTATCGTCTGACCGTTGTCGAAATCTTGAATCGAAATTGGTGAGTTAGTTTTGGCTCGTGTCATTGAGTTGACTTTGAACTGATTATCTTTGTCGCAACGCGTTGACCGGCGTTGACCTAGGGCTACGCGTTGATCAGCGTTGGCCTTTTTGTATTGATCGGCGTTGACTTTTATCGAAACGTGTTGACCGGCGTTAACACAGTTTATACTCGTACGTTTGCTGGAGTCTACACAATTTAAGCTCTTAAGGCGTTGGAGCGTGATGGTCCCAAATGTTGGGCTGCAGGACCAACTATTAAAGATGATTCATCTGCACGTGTGAATCTTATCCTGAAGTTTGTTGGATGCTCAAGTCATGAGACCAACTAATGAAGCTAATGCGTCAATGACTCGCATTTATAGAATTTTTGGCAAATTCTCAGCCATCAACGGGTTTGATAAGCCTTTACCGACTACCGTTTGAGTTAGATTAGCATGCAGATTGTTTAAGTCCGTTCCGCATGTAACGTTATGCTAAAAGAGTTAACTCCTTTAGTGCTACGATATTGAATACGTAGACTTCATCTTTCTCCTGTGAAAAGACTAAACAATAACGTGTATCAGACGTAGACTTAGAATTTTTGGCAAATCCTTAGCCTTCAACGGATTTGACATGCCTTTACCGATTACTGTTTGAATCGGGCTTGCATGAGGATTGTTTAAGTCCGTTCCACATGTGACGTTGTGCTAAGAGAGTTAACTCTCTTAGTGCTACGATATTGAATACGTAGACTTCGTCTTTCTTACGGGAATAGACTACCCGGCAACGTGTGTTAGGCGCTGACTTATCCCTACTTAGGCTTAGGGATAAAATTCCCTGTGCGTGTGAAGCACAGATTTTGACGTTATGAATAACAACCCGCCACAATGTCGAATATGTGGGCTTTTGTTCTTTTTAT